TTTTCAGTTGGCGTCTCACTGTCACCCAGGCTGGAGGGCAGTGGCACATTCACGGCCACCAGAGCCTCAACCTGCCTTGCTCACGTGATCCTTCCACCTCAGCCTTCTGAGTAGCTGGAACTACAGGCACGATCCTTCAGGTCTTTATTCAAGTATCACTAACTCAATAAGGTCTTTCCTAACAACCCTATTTTAAATTGCAGCCTCCCTCCCCACAACACTTCCCTACTTTATTTTGCTCCAAAGCATTTATGTCCACCTATTGTTTTATATATTTACTTTGTTTATTGTCTGTCTCCCCCATAGTTTAAATTCCAAGAATGCAGAGATTTTGCCTGTTTTGTTCATTGCTGAGCTCCTGATGCCTAACACAGCGCATGACACTTGGTAACTGACCATAACTATTCATTGAATGAATGACGTTGAGCATTCCTAGGGACAGTATTTTTCTTCAGGTGACTGCATTCCTTAATACAGACCTCCAAGACTGGGATTGCTATACTAGGCTGTAAAAACGTTCTATAGCTCTTGATAAATATTGCCAAATATTTTCTAAAGGGGCTGTACAATACTCTCAACAAGGTATAGGCCTATCAAATTCACCAGTATCTTTTTAAATTGTAAAATCCCAACAAACTGCACTGTTCCTTTAAGGCCAAACAAGACTGTCTTCTACTTAGACTTTGCACTTCATACCTGTTGAATGACTAAGCTACAGGGAAGGTGCCTTCTCTAAACATCTAGAATAACTCAATAAGCTCATTTACCATACACATTAGAAAGATAATGGCATTTCTTTAAAAAAAAAAAAAAAAAGTTTACCTTCCCACCCACCCCACTTTCCTACACACACCCTGAGCCTACACGTGAAATCCTGTAAAAAGAGCCGGGTGTGGTGGCTCACGTCTGTAATCCCAGAACTTTGGGAGGCGGAGGCGAGAGGATTGCCTGAGCCTAGGGGTGCGAGAGACCAGCCTGGGCAACTTGGCGAGACCTCGTCTCTACAATAAATCAAAAAGTTAGCCGGGCGTGGTGGTGCACGCCTGTAGTTCCAGCTACTTGGAAGGCTGCGGCGGAAGGCTCGCCGGAGCCCAGCAGGTCGAGGCTGCGGCGGCCGTGAGCGTGCCACTGCACTCCCGCCTGGGCGACAGTGAGACTCCGACTCAAAAAGAAAGAAATCCTGAAAAGAGAAAATCTTCACTGAGACCGAGGCTAAGATGGGAAGGGCAAGGCGTCCTGGCCTGGCCAGCCCACCCGGACAGACGCAGCCCAGAGGAGAGGGGCTCCGCTCAGGCCGCCCCGGCCTCTCAGACCTCGGGCCGAAAACACCCCGTTCCTCTGCGAAGGCTGAGGGTGGGCCCCCAGCCACTCCCAAACTCCGTATCTAAGTGACAGCCACTTTGGGGTGCTCCTGCCCTGCTCGAGCCACCCTCTCAATAAGACGCCCCCCCGACTTCCACAAAACCCGGCGCCCAGGAAGAAGCCCCCGGCCCTCCCAGCCCCCTCCCACCCCTGCTCCGGAAAGCCCGCGTGGAGCGGGTGTCGCCGCCCAGCTCCTCCCGGACACCGCGGCGGCGGCCTCGGCTTGCCACGCCGGACGCTCTCCCTTCCTGCCACAACCCAGCGGCAGACGCACCTGGCCTCGCAGCCCCAGCACTCACCTCGCGGGGTCCGCCGGGCCCCACCTGGGCGCCCTTCCACTTCCCTCAACGCCTCACCCAACGGCAGAGCAGCCCCGCGCCGCCAGCTCCGGTTTGAAAACCGGTAGCGACCAATCACAGAGAAATTTATTCCTCCCACGCCGTCCCTCTACGCTAGGACGCACGCGTCAGAGGCACGGGGAGGAGGCGGGAACTGGAGTAAGCATGCGCATTACAACAGAGAGAAGCCAAGATAGCCATTTTGACTAAGGGCAACTCTTTTTTTTTCCTCCCCCCCCGGTGCCCTTTTCTGAAGTCATTTAGGATGCCATGTTGACTAAGGGCAAGTGGTACTTCTTCGGTGTAAAGTATCCTTGACCTCATGTCTCCCCCAAGCAGAGAAATAGAGCTCTTGGAAACTATTAACTGAACAGGGTCGAGTCTCGCTGTAAAATAGGAAGAATTCCAGAAGGAGATAGGACAGCAGTCATTTTCAACTATATTTATTGAACTATATTATTCCTTCATTCATTGATGCACTCATTGAGGCTTTCATTTGACATACATTAAGTATGCCAACTTGGTAACAAGCACTCCACTAGAAATCGGAAAATTAAAGATAGTATGGTCTCTGCTGTCCAGTAGCTACAAATGGAGAAGACAGCTTCAGGAAATAAAAATAATTACAAAGCGCTATAATTCCACTTAACAAACATTATTTAAAACTTGATATTGTGTTGGCACGGGGGTTCTCATACTTTTAAAAAAATATGGATCCATAGTGAGAAATACATTTACTAAATATCAAAGAACTCTGTCCATCCTTACTACATGTGACATAATCAAAACTTACTACTCAAAAATGATTGGCTAACCGCAATTTGAAAAAATACTGACTGCCAGGGCTTGTGGCTCATGCCTGTAATCCCAGCACTTTGGGAGGCAGAGGCAAGAGAATTGCCTGAACCCAGGTCCAAGACTAGCCTGGGCAACATGGTAGGACCTCATCTAAATTAAAAAATTAGATGGGTATGGTGGCGCGTGCCTGTAGTTTCAGCTACTTGGAAAGCTGAGGCAGAAGGATCATATGAGCCCAGCAGGTTGAGGTGGCTGTGAGCATTCCACTGTACGCCAGCCTGGGTGAGAGAGTGAGACTCCAACTCAAAAAAGAAAAAGAGAAAGAAAAACAAAACATACTGGCTAAAACATACAAGAAGCAATGTGGTATAAAAGAAAGACCACAGCAGTGAAAAGGAAATGCTTATACACTTGGTGGGAGTGTAAAGTACTACAAGCTCTATGGAAACCAGTATGGAGATTTCTCAAAGAACTCAAAATAGATCTACCATTTGATCCAGCAATTCCACTACTAGGTATCTACCCAAAGGAACAGAAGTCACTATATAAAAAAGACACCTGCATTCACAAGTTCATCGCAGCACAGTTCACAATTGCAAAGATGTGGAATCAACCTTAATGCCTATCAACTGGTCAGTGATAATGAAAATATGGTATATATACACCCTGGAATACTAGTCAGCCATCAAAAAGAATGAATTAATGTCTTTTGCAGCAAGTTGGATGATTGAAGAACATCATCTTAAGTGAACTAATGCAGAAACAGAAAACTAAACACCTCATGTTCTCATTTATAAGTGAGAGCTAAACTAAGGATCTGCAAAGGAATAGAAAAGGGTATAATGGACACTGGAGACTCAGAAGGGGGAGGGAGGAACGGGTGGAGGGATGAAAAATCACCTATTGGATACATTACATACAGGTGGGAATAGTGAGTACACTTAAAGCCTAGACTTCTTTGCAGCTATACAATGCAAACATGTAACCAAAAACTATTTGTACCCCTTGAAGCTATTGAAATGAAGAAAAAAAAATCACAGATTTGCTAGGGGAGGAAATTGGGAAGATTTTGTTCAAAGTATGTGAAATTTCAGTGAGACAAAGAAAAGTTCAGGGGATCTATTGTAAAACATGGTGAGTGTAGCTAATAACAATGTATTCTATATTTGAAAATTGGCCAGGCACAGTAGCTCACACCTGTAATCCTGGCACATTGGAAGGCTGAGGCAGGAGGATTGCTTGTACCCAGGAGTTCAAGACCAACATAGCAAGACCTCATCTCTAAAAAAATAAAAAATTGTTTTAAAAAGTTGTGATGGTGTACACCTGTAGTCTCAGCTACTTGGGAAGTGGGAGGCTGAGGGACAAGAATCACCTGAGCCCAGCAGGTCAAGGCTGCAGTGAGCTGTGATTGCACCACTGCACCCCAGCCTGAGGAACAGAGATACCCTGAATTAAGAAAAAGAAAACAGGGCCGGGCACAGTGGCTCAAACCTGTAATCCCAGCACTTTGGGAGGTCAAGACAAGAGAATTGCCTGAGCCCAGGGGTTCAAGACAAGCCCGGGCAACTTGGTGAGACCTCATCTTTACAATAAATTTTAAAAAATAAGCCAGGCATAGTAGCACATGCCTATAGTTGCAGCTACTTGGAAGACAAAGGCAGAAGGACTGCCAGACCCCAGCAGGTCAAGACTGCAGTGGCCGCGAGCGTGCCACTCCAGCTTGGGTGACAGAATGATACTCCAACTCAAAAAAAAAAAAAAAAAAGAATTGCTAAAAGAGTAGATCTTAAATGTCCTCACCACACACAAAAAATAAGTATGTGAGGTAGTAGATGTGTTAATTAGCCTGACTTAGTAATTCCACAGTGTATGCATATATCAAAACATCATATGATACACCATAAATATATACAATTTTTTATTTTGAAATAAAATAAGTCACAAATTTTGTAACTGGAAAATTTGACTCCATTTTTTTTCTTTTTCTGAGCCACAGTCTCACTCTGTCACCCAGGCTGGAATGCATATGGCACAATCAAAGCTCACTGCAATCTCAGAATCCTGGACTCAGACGATCTTCCTGCATAGCTAGGGCCCAAGTCATCACACCTGGTTAGTTTGTTGTTGTTGTTTTGTTGCTGTTTTCTTGTTGAAACAGGGTCTCACTATGTTGCCCAAAATGATCTCAAACTCCTGGCCTCATGCCTCACAAAGTGCTGGAATTACAGTCATTAGCTTCCCCACCTAGCTTTAACTCCCCTGAAATAGTAATGGAGCGCTTTTGTGGGTAGGGCATAGCATGCAACCACTTGCATTATCACTATCTGACTCTTCTGGACATCATGTCCTCCCAGTGTAAAACAAATAATAATCCCACTCCAATCTCATAGGTTTATTCCCAGATGATTTGCGATAGTGTGTGGTACACTATCAAAGTTTACCCTTTGTAAACTGTAATACAGATTGTTATAATATTATTAGAAAAGGGGTGAAGAAAGGAAACATTAACTGTACATATATTATCCCATTTAATCCTCCTAACAACCTTTCAAGGTCAAGAGCATTCACTGAATGCATTAGCCTGTGCCTCCTTAGATACCTATAATACACTGAAATAAGCACCAGGATAAAGATATGTGTAAAGTGCTTTAGGAACACAAACAAGGAAGCAATTAATCCTATCTGGGGAGTGGGAGTGTTAGAAAAGCTGAACTGGGACTTGAAGTGTGAATCAGAAATTACGAGAGAGAAGGGGGTGGCAAATTCCTGGCAATGGGAAGGTCATGTGACTTCTGAAGAATGAGGCAAGCACATGTTTAATAAATACACAAGCAAACAGTTTAGGAAGGTTTAGGGCTGTGGCGAAACGTTTATTTCAACTCTCAGATGATGCTGGGGGTTCAGTGGGGTGATGCTTTTTGGGTAGCTTTGACCTGACAAGGAGAGACTGACAAGGTAGGTTGGGACCAGATGAGGAAGGAATTGGACTTTATCCTGTAATAGATTCAGCAACAAGGCAATGGGGTTTGGACTAACTGGACTGATTTGTATTTTGGATAGAAAATATGCTAAGATGGCCTGGTGAGGTGGCTCATGCCAGTAATTCCAGCACTTTGCGAAGCGGAGGCAAGAGGATTGCCTGAGCCCAGGGGTTCGAGACCAGCCTGGGCAACTCAGCGAGTCCTCATCTCTACAATAAATCACAAAAATTAGCCAGGAGTGGTGGTACGTGCCTGTAGTTCTAGCTACTTGGAAGGCTAAGGCAGAAGGATCACCTGAGCCCAGCAGGTCGAGGCTGCAGTGGCCATGAGGGTGCCACTGCACTCCAGCCTGGACAACAGAGTGAGACTCCGACTCAAAAAAAAAAAAAAAGAAAGTGCTCGGGCTCGGTGACTCAGCCTGTAATCCCGCGCCTTTGGGAGGCTGAGGTGAGTGGATTGCCTGAGCCCGCGGGTTCGAGACCCGCCTGGGCAGCGAGACCTCATCTCTACAATAAATCAAAAAATCAGCTGGGCGTGGTAGCACATGCCTGTAATTCCGGTTACTGGGAAGGCTGAGGCAGAAGGATCGCCAGAGCCCAGCAGGCGAGGCTGCGGTGACCGGAAGTGGCCACTGCACTCCAGTCTGAACGACTGAGTTAGACTCCAATTCAAAAAAAAAAGAAAGAAAGAAAAAGAAAATATGCTATGATGGCATGGGAGGATGGTCTAGAGAGGGAACCATCGAAAGGCAGAGAGACAAGCAGGGGACTAGTGGGAAAGATACTCATGAAATCAGTGAATGAGCCTGGGTACAGTGACTCACGCCTGTAATTCCAACACTTTGGGAGGCAGAAGCAAGAGGATTGCCTGAGTACAGGGATTCAAGAGCACCCTGGGCAACATGGTGAAACCTCATCTCTAAAATAAAAAACTTAGCCGGGCCTGGTGGCACGCACCTGTAGTTCCAGTTACTTGGAAGGCTGAGGTGGTAGGATCATCTGGTCCCAGCTGGTTGAGGCTGTGGTGGCCAAGAGTGTGCCACTGCACTCCAGCCTAGGCGAGAGAAGGAGCCTCCTACTCAAACAAAACAAAACATACAAAATAAATCAGTGAATGAAATGAAATGGACTTATTACATGATTGGACCTCAGGGGCAAGGAAGAGGGAAGGGTGCAGAGTCTTCTGCTTTCCTTCCCTCCCTTACTCCTGGTTACTGAACACAATTCCCAAGAACAGATCTCTTGTAGGTACCCACCCTCCCCTTCCTGCTGTTACAGCCCTAGTCCAACTTGGTGGTCCAAGGAACCCCAGGGAAACTGTTTGCCCCTCCCTTGCATTCTTTA